GGGTAACCACTTGTAAAGGGAAGTACAGGGTAACTACTTGTAAAGGGAAGTACAGGGTAACCACTTGTAAAGGGAAGTACCGGTAACCTTTTGTAAAAGGAAGTACCGGGTAACCACTTGTAAAGGGAAGTACCGGGTAACCACTTGTAAAGGGAAGTACCGGGTTACCACTTGTAAAGGGAAGTACAGGGTAATCACTTGTAAAGGGAAGTACAGGGTAACTACTTGTAAAGGGAAGTACCGGTAACTACTTGTAAAGGGAAGTACCGGGTAACCACTTGTAAAGGGAAGTACCGGGTAACCGCTTGTAAAGGGAAGTACAGAGTAACCACTTGTAAAGGGAAGTACCGGATAACCACTTGTAAAGGGAAGTACCGGGTAACCACTTGTAAAGGGAAGTACAGGGTAACCACTTGCAAAGGGAAGTACTGGGTAACCACTTGTAAAGGGGGTAACCACTTGTTAAGGGAAGTAACCATCTGTAAGCTGGTTAACCTATGTGGATTTCTTGCAAATATTGGAAATTTAGACCAATGTGCACATCTACTCAGCCTACTTTATGTAGTGTATGACCAATACCTTGAGGGTGTGACAGACAAATCTCCAACCCGAGGGGTGATGTTTTAGAGCCTCGGGTTAGACAACCAAAAAAATCACCCAGAGGGTTGGAGATTTCTCTGTTACACCCTCAAAGTAGGGGATGATTATTTTTCTCCCATCCTATTATTTCAGTCACAACTCCACCGACAGTAGTGTAAACAAAAACACATGTGGAGTATGGATATCGTCATTCACTTTTGATGACATCACCAATACCGGCTACACATTTGAATGACGCCACAATTGAACACATGCTAATTGGCACGAGGCTATCTACCCCTAGCAGGTGACAAGCTGATCTTTCCCAGCTAAAACTGGGAGACACCACTATGAAGGATGAGATAATTTAGGATCACCTTCTACATACCTTCTTCTACCTCCTCCACCTTGTTCTCCTCTTGTGGCAGTTTCTTTTTAGGATCCGGCAAATTCTTAAACCGTGATGTTTTGGATGTACTTCTCCGCGCTGCAGTTAAACAAAACATCCTTTAAAGTTTGAACAGCAGTCATGTGTACAAATCGGTGACCTAGAATTTTAATAGACTTATTAAAAATCTTACAATCTCAAAAAGGTACCAAAATGTTTAAAATCTAAATCGCTTTTCTCTGCCTCAACTTATTGAATACTTTACTATTTGCAGTTACTGGGAGGTAGTTAAACATGAATTATGTAGCAACATCACCTGAACCTACCTGTTAGACATGTTCTGCGGGGGTCTGGAAACTCCATTGGCGGCTTGGGTTCTGTACAAACAAATCAATATATTTAGTACAAGGTCGTTACTGCATTTCAAAATAACATTTATAATCTTGTAAACGGCCGGTTTCCAAAACGGCCCCTTCTCTGATTCAAATTTCCTGTTGGTGGTGCATTGCCCATGCCGTTGTGGTCACAAATCTATAAAGTATAAAGATTTAGGTCACTTGGTTTGTTTTTTATGGCTCCTCAAAGTTGTACCTTTCAGAAGCTGTCTAAGTGTTGATAAAATGTGCATGTTATGTAAAATATTAATGAAAATCTAATCAAATGATGGTCACCGTAAAGAATACATTCATGGCATGATTGTGACAAAAAATCATGTTTCCATCGCGCCATTTGGCTGTTTTATGGAAGAAACAATCTCAAAAATGCCATTTTCGATGATAACATTTTAGACACAAAAACTGTGTTTTTTAGAGAATACACCCTTTTATGGGCGTTGGATGCAAACCAATTTTTATCCTATTAAACAGTACGTAATATGCTATTGATGAGAGGAAAAATCATCAAAATGTAAGTGGTGGAACATTTTCAAATGTTGGGTTGAATTAGCCTATGGTTGAATTGCCGATTTTCGACTTTCTTTAGATAATTAACAAAAAAACGAGAGTATTTGCTCGGTATGTTGAGAATATGTACACAGATATGAAAAAAAGTGAGAGAAACACTTTTTCATAAAAAAAATCCAAGATGGCTACTTCACAAGTCCCCGTGGTTGAAGACATTGGCTGACAAATAGACAGAACAACAAACAAAACGTGTTCCTTATGATTTTGGTTGGTTTTCGCATTTACGGGAGTGTTCATAGCTACGGGCGATTGTATAATACCTATATTTATAAGTTTGGTTAGTCACATGGTAACGGGGATCTTTCATATCGAGCCCCAAACATACTTTCGACATATGCACTCCGTTGCCGCATGGAAAACTATTTCAAGTTTTGTCGGAATTTCTTTACCTGTGGTTGTAATGGTCGAGGGTTTTCCAGCGTCCTGTAATACCCAAGGTAGTACAAGATACTGGAGATGTGCGCACACATTCCCATCGTTCTCTCTCCAACTGGGCACTGGCAGTAGTAGTCCTTTATTGGGGCCTCAACATCGGGTGAAACGGTGAACCGTATCCAAACGTTATATTTCGTTTGGCTTTTGTGTCGAGAATGTATTTGACATCGGAGAAGGTCTGGGGAGTGCTGGTAAAGCCACACCTCATAGTCTCCGTCATCACTTAAATGTTCGGCGATGTAACCAGGAGCCAGAGATATCTGATACGTTCCACACGTAATGGTTCTCAAGTAATCAAGATCGAGACGGGGAAACAGTACGGAAGATGCATCCATCTTGACAAACTCGGACCTTGCCCGTCTAGATAGATCCGGATCTGTCTTGACTCTCTGAGCTAAACCATTCGGTGTTGTCAAACGGTCCTTCATACGTTCAGCCATTAGCCTATCTTTGGCATCTCTCTCTGGAGATCTCTGGTAGATCGGTCCTCTAATACCATTCAGACAGGCTGTGACGGTTCGAAGCAAAGCCTCGATGACATTGATAAAGCTGTTAGACACCAATTGCGTTCGGAAGAACGTCCAGTGTTTCAGACGACCATGATAGGATTCCACAATCCACCTCGATTTGGTGATAGTTCTGTCAAGATTTGCTTGGACGTCAGAATGTTGACTTTGACCGGGTTTCAGGTATGACGGCATGCTAGCATTGAGGCCAGAGGCTTCGAGAACTGGTAGGACATCTCTAAAACCTCGGTCAACGACAACGTTGTCGTCTGGTTGTAGCCAAGTAACTAGCTTGTCCATGACTTTTTTTGTAATTGTAGCATCATTTTCGCTGCCAGTGAATGGTCCTACTGTGTCCAGAATGTAGCCATCTGGTAAGGCGATGCTCATGAATTTGAGATAGTTTCTCTTCTTCTGGCCACAGTAGGACATTCTCTGGAGCTTGTGGTCGGAGCTTTTCTGGATATAAATATAGGTGCCATCTAATATGGCAGTGGCTTTATCTCCAAAAAATGCTTCTGAAAAGACAGTATTGTGCCCGAGCAACTGTTCTCTTGTCAAGTGATCCGGACCTAGAAATTGTGGGACTATCGATGTGTCTAATGCCTGTACTATGGAGTGGAAAGTTTTGGACACACTTGACTTGGAAATTCCAAAAAGAGAAGAACACTGACTCCAGGAAATGTCGGTTTTCAGTTTTACCCAGAACAGTAATAGAGCATCGTGTGTAGTCTTGGTATATATACCAGATGAAAGATATGGGGAACAGTGCGAGTGGATTTCGAGGAACTGATCTTTGGACCAACCTGTCCAGGCCATGCATGCCGAGTCATCAAGAGAAGAAAAGCTTATTGTAAACGCAGACTGGTTCTGTGAAAGGACGTGCGACACCTCTAGGAGGTCATTAATGATTTCGGACGATTTTGATGGTAACTGAGATTCCAAGGAACCTCTACCATCAAGGACAACCTCTGTAGACGGATCTAAGTCGTTACCAATAAGGTGAATGGAGCAGACGCGGGATGAGGTGGGACACCACAGTTTGTGTGAATAGATCAGGTGATGTCTTGCACGTTTTGGTAAGACTGATGATTTTGTTCCATTTCTTGCAAAGGTAACAAGACAGAGACAGCATTTTTTGTGTGAAGATGATCCATTCAAAAGATCATGAAGGGTCAGCAACGGCAGGATATGGGACGGGGAGTCGTCTTCTTCCTCTATTTCCTGGTTCTGCTCGGGTTCAGGTTCAGGCTGATTTTTGTTCCGAAGATACTTCATGTAGCACTTCTGGCAAATAAGTGCTTGTTCCTTTGCTGACATCAATCCTTGTTGCACCAGCGTATCTAGGAGCCATTTATATTGTGGACTATTTACATTGCGTGCACTTCTGTTCTTATTGCCACTACGTTTCTTGAAGTATACTTGACACCCTTCTCCAACACATTTACCCTCCATCTTGAAACAATAACGATTGGTTTATGAAGCGTCGATAAAGTAACAAAATAGCAAGCCACCGATGATTGCTGTAAACAGCTAATACTTAGTAGTTTGGTACAATTATGCGAAAATGTGTGATAAATAACGAACAACTAATTACACAAAATAACAAGACAATATAATAAATCACATTCAATACCTCCAAGAAGCGCAGAATTGATTGATTACTTAGAACAAAATAAAGTATTTCATATGGATAATCTATCTATTCGATGTGGCGTGGTCGGCAGGCACAAAGAAAGTGAGACAAGTCAGGGTCCCAACCCTGACAGAGCCACAACGCTTTGGAGATGGGACAATAAAACAAGGAAAGTGAGACAAGAATAGCTAGCGTCGAGTCAATGATTCCGTAAACGTATAGACAAAGACAAGAAGATACGGATAAATGTACAAGGCCACACGATCAGAAAATTCAGAAGAGGACAACTTGAGATAGAACAGTATTCATGTATCAGGGTGTCCTCAGTGTAAATCTTTATATCGATACTGTTTATTTAGTCGTTACACATCATAAAACTGTCATGAAAATATCCGCTCTGATATTCAATATAAAAGTTTGTATATAATAAGCTATATAATAGGGTTTCAGACAAGGTTGTTACTCATTTCCCCTTTTCTTTCAATTTACAACCACATTCAGGCGGCGATATGAGAACGTTCCACCACATGGAATTAGCTGATTTTTGGTACACATATGAAACAAGTAAAGCTCTATCCGATTTTCTGATGGAAATTTGCATCCAAAACTATATAACGGGAGAAAATTGCAATTTTATGGCATTTTTCTTCATAATTGTGTCTCTGCAAGTGCATTTTCATCCGAGA